TGTAAANTGGGTTCTTCTTCGTCATCTCTCGGTTGGGGCAAAGCTGGGTTCTTCTTCGTCATCTCAATCTTCTGCGTGTGAATATAAGTATTGGAGATTCTACATGTGACTAAACCTGAAACAAACATCACACACAGTGAGATGGGTTTCGCTCTTATTTAGTTTTTTCAAAATGACTTATGATATTTAATACTTTGCAATGATATTTAATCCATTCATAGCCTTTTTATAGTCCATAAAAAACAAACCCAGAAGTCCTCCTGCAAACACATCTTGCCAGTGATGCCAATAGTCATGCACTCGTGAGATTCCAACCATGCAAGCAGTAAAAAGAGGAAGAAAAACAATGCATAATTTTGCTATGTGCCCTTTTTTATCAAAAACTTTAATCTTTTCCGATAGGTACAGAGAGAACCTAGACCGACAAAGGACCCTGCAGAACAACATTTATCAGAAAAAGGTTTATACGCAAACAATTTTCAATACAAATGAGCTAGTAATCTAATGAATAATTAATTTTCTGATAAATTAAGTAAAATAATATTTACCAATTTCCCAATCTTCAAAACAGTCTTCATATTATTAAAAGCAAGGTCGCTTTTAGCTAACATTATGCCTCTAATATAATTATAATGAACATTATGACTCTGTTTTCAACTCCTTGAAAAAGGTTAGTTTTTTGGTTGATTATTGGTTATTAGATTTTGTATATGTGATTGAGTTTTGATTTTTGGTTATTAGTTAATGCATATATGAATTTTAGTTTGAAATGTTATTGGTTATTGGAGATATGATTATTTGAGATGTGATTTTTAGTCTGTTATGCATGATTGATTAAGTTTCTTGTGTTATTATGATTGTCATGTTATGTAAACTTTTCATATTGAATTTTTTGCAATATACTGTTGATTAAATTTTGAATATATATGTAGTATGAAATGATTCAGTGAAACTTAGTTCCTGTTTGAGATTTAACACAAATGATTAATCTTTTATTCGTTTGTATTAAATTTTGAATTGTCCGATCAAACAGTTTGGAAAAACTTATTTTTCATAATTTGCTATAACATGTACATTGGAGTTTATGGATAAGTTTGATAAAATTCTGGTTCAAATTATTTGTGTTGTTCTCCAGATGCATATTTGATTGTGGTCATCCCTGACCACTCTTATTTGTGTATTTCGAAGTCCAATGTGAAATGCTACCAAATCTTATCAAATTTATCATGTTGGACCCAAGTCGACTCGTCTCAAAATTTAGCTAGGGCTGGCATGTCTCGACCTTTGACTCTAGACGACCTGTCTCGACATTCGGTTTGAGTCGATTCATCTTACCTTTTAGCCCAATTTGACACGTCTTGACTTAAATCGTCACGTCTTTTGGCCTATGTTGTCCCTTCTTAACTTTCGGCCAAGTCAGCCCCTTTAGACCTTTTACCCTGACTAACTCGTCTAAACTTCAACTTAGGCTGACCCTTCTACACCTTTGGTCTTGGCCAACCTGTCTCACACTCCATTCTAGGTCTGTCCATCTCAACATTAGGGATGTACTGGCCCATTTTGATGTTAAGCCTGGTCTGACTTTTCTGGACCTTTAGCCTTGGTCGTTTTGTCATGACCTTTGCCCTACGTTGATCCCTCTTGACCTTCAATCCGGGTCACGCTGTCTCGACCTTCGGCCCGGGCCAACCTGTCTTGACCTTTGGCCTGGACAGTTTGTCTTGACCTTTGGCCTGACCTGACCCTTCTCGCCTTTTAGCCTATGCCAAATTGTCTAGACTTTCGGCCTAGCGGTTATTTTGACATTCTACCTAGAGCAGGTCATCTCGATTGTCAACCCAGGTCGGTCTTTCCTGGACCTTTAGTCCTAGGTTGACTTGTCTTGACATTCTTCCTAGACTGGTCCGGCAAGACCTTTGACTACGGTCCGGATTGACCCGTCTTGACATTGGACGTGTTAGCCTGTTTTGACGTTGGGTCTAGTTTGACCTATCTCTAACTTTGGCATAGTTCGGTCTATCACAACCTTTGACTTAGGCTGATTCATCTCGATCTTGACGTTGAGCTTAGATTAGCCCGACTGGATCTTCGATCTAGATAAGCTCATCTTGACCTTATGTCCAATCCAACTAAAAATTTATATTGAAAATTTGAGTTTTTCATATTTGAAAATTTAGACGAAAAGAATGGATATCTCATCTAAAAGAATTATAACATATAGATTAAATTATAATATAAATTTAATAAAATAGATTTTAAGCGGAGTAGATATTTGATAGAATGGATGTTAAATAGATTGGATCAAACACTAGTGTAGTAAAGGAAAACGACACTGGTTATTTTCGGTTATACGCAGCGGTTCATGAACCGAGGTATATACAGGCGAAGCAAAAAGGGGTAGCCTTTTTGTCTCGATTTAGAACTAAGGCAGTATGTAGGGGTCTTTTGCCTCGGTTGCTTTTGAATCGAGGCGATGAATGCCTTTTTTTTCCAGAAAATGGGGTCTTTTGTCTATTCAAAATAATTTCTTTTTTTCTGCAATGGATAATGGAGACGACAAAGAAACGGATGAAGGCGACAACGAACAACCGAAGACAGTGACGAACGGTCGAAGGCGGCGACAAATAACTAGTGGCAGCGACGAATGGTAGGTGGCAACAACGAATAGTGTTGGCGCGAGAGAAATAAAGGGAGAACTGTTCACGCAACAGAAATAGAACCAACGAAGATGGAGACCACACCAAACACTCGTGCAAGAGAAATGGAGGCTACAAAACAACAACTTCGCCTGAAAGAGAGAATGGTTACGCGAGGAAGAAAAAGGAACATTAGGATAACATTTCTTACAATGGTGGCCAGTGGTGGAGGAAGCGGCGAAGCCTAGCGGTGGAGGCAACAATGGCAGCCAACGGCGGCAGCTAGTGGTGGAGGTATAGGCGGGGGAGCGACAAGGAAACGTTGTTCGCGCCATTGCGAAGCTGCAATTCGCGTTTACTCTTTGACGGAAGAGGAAGAAGAGTGAAAATGTGCTTACTGTGTTATGGATCTGGAATATAACCATCGAAGAGGCTATTACCTTGGTTATAAATAAAACCGATGTGTAAACCTTCTAGAAAAAATTCAAAAAAAAATTGTAAATTCAAAATTTGAAAATATCTACTAGCTATAGGCCTCGGTTCACGGTTAAACCGAGGCATAAATGACCTATGACATCGGTTAAAATGGAACCGAGGCAGTAGAGGTTGAAAAAAAGGATATGGAACGTTCAAAATCAAATGTTGTCAATTTCTGGCAGGACATACTGTCTCGGTTGGTCAAAGAACCGAGGCAGTAGACCAATTTCAAAAAAGCTGTCAGAGTTTTTCGCCTCGGTTGGTCAGAGAATGAGGCAGTAGGCCTATTTCGAAAAAGCTGTTAGAGTTTTCGCCTCGATTGGTCAGAGAACCGAGACAATAGGCCTATTTTGAAAAAGTTGTCAGGGTTTTTTGTCTTGGTTGGTCAGAGAACCGAGGCAGTAGCTTCTTTTAATAAAGTTGTAAGCCTAAAAGCTAGTTTTGCAGATAATTTTATGTGGTTTTAGGCATCGATTGTCTTTATAATCGAGGTTATAGAGGTTATAGACGTATAAGTTCGCTATAACTACAAAAATGCCACCGCGTTTTGATAGGCTTTGGTTTTGTGTAAACCGAAGCCTATTATACGAGTTTAAAAGCAAATTTTGTACTAGTGAAAGAAAAACCGAAAATCGATTTGGTATAAAGAGGTTTTTTTTCTCATCCCTAATGTCAACATATTTTCATTTGGAGACCATGGCACCAACCATCTTCATATTATTGGAAAAATAGTGTGAAATTATAGGTACTTTGGAGCACTTCACATGATGCCCACACTATAGTAGTTGACACAAATTCCGACATGTAAACAGATTTTGCTACTTTAAGAAGAGATATATAAGAAGAAAAAATAAAATAAATTAATTTTTACTATAAATATAATATAGTATTAGTATAAGTTAAAAATAAGAACTTAAAGATGTAATATAAAAAAAATTACAATTTAATTAATACATAAACTAAATTTAACTTGAAATTTTTTTTCTCTTTTTTTAAGAGTGCTTATAGTTGCAGTTATTGAAGGATGAACAACCATTGAAGAAACAATTGTTAAAATCATGCATTGGGAAAGTACTTAGAAATTAGTAATACATGAGTTTTGTAGTTCAGTTTGTGAATGACAGCTGTGGAACACAACACTTATTGTTGGTTGTTGACGACGAACCATCAAGGAAAAAACGATCACCAAAGAAAAACTAAAGGTCATAATTCAAAAAGTTAGCTTATAACTATTATTTCCATTGCACTGTAACGAATCAAAGACGTTCGCTTCACTTCAAAATACTCAGTTTCATTCATCCACTCACGGAAAATAAAATGAACTGTAAAATCATGGCTGTAGTGATGATTTATTTTTATTATTTTCTTCTAAAGTGCTTACAGATAGTTATGTCTAAATAAATTCCATAGCTTCAATTATTCGATAACATAAACTACTCAGGAAACAATTGTCAAAATTCGGCAGGCTTGGAAAAGTACTTTTTTTTTCTAGAAATTAACAATAAATGAAGTTAACATTTGCTGAATTATAGAATGTATTTAAGTAGTTTATGTTTGCTTGATGAAAAAAGTCACACAATGCATTCGTCTCATTTTTAATTTATTATTATTATTCTTACTGTTTCATATATAACTTTTTCTTCTTTCTTTCTTTTATTTTTTCAATCTGATCATCCCTTGTCTTTACATATATCATTGGCTTGTTATTTTTCATTTAATTTACAACTATTATCTCTATTATATCTTTTATAACTCACTTCTTAGCATTCTTTTTATTATTATATCAATATTCTCTGTATTATCAATATTCTCTTCTTTCTACCCGCGAAGACGTGGAGGATGGTACGTAATAATTGACAAGTGTAGGCAAATATAAGAAAATTTGAACATTGACTATATCATAACCACTCGTTCCTTCAAGCTAGTTGAGTACAGTTCATCAATAACAGAGAGCTATCGGAAGACTCAAGTTGACGAGGAACCATCAAGGAAAATATGTTCACCTCAAGGCCATCATTCAAAAAATAGCTTATAACTTTTATTTCCATTGCACTGTACCCAATCAAAGGCATAAGCTTCACTCGAAAATACTCACTTTCATTCATCCACTTCCTTTTCTGTTCTTACCATGGCATCAGAAATGGTTATCGGTGTTCTTGTTTCTACTTTCGTCCAGAGAACTATCGACACTTTGGCTGCCCGTCTTGTCCACATATTTCGTCAAAGAAAACACAAGAAGCAACTCGGCAACTTGAAGATGAAGCTCCTTGCCATTGATGTTGTGGCTCTTGATGCAGAACAAAAGCAGTTCAAAGATCCACAAGTCAGAGACTGGCTTCTCAGAGCCAAAGATGATGTGTTTGATGCAGAAGATCTCTTGGATGAGATAGATTATGAACTCTCCAAAAGCCAGGCGGAAGCTGAGTCTCAGAGTGCTACTAACAAGGTGTGGAATTCCCTAAATTCTTCTTTTGTCAGTTTCTTTGAAATAGAAATTGAATCCAAGATGGAACAAGTCATTGAGGACCTAGAAGATCTTGCAAAAGAAAGCTATATTCTAGGTTTGGAAAAGAGTGCTGGTGTTGGAGTTGGATCAAGATCGGGTAGTAAATTAACATATACATCTTTGCCAAATGAAAGTGTTATCTATGGCAGAGATGATGACAAAGAATCTATCTTTAACTGGCTCACTTCTGAACTTACATCCGACACTGACATCAACCTATCTATACTTTCTATTGTGGGTATGGGTGGATTGGGTAAAACCTCACTTGCCCAACATGTATTCAATGACCCAAGGCTTGAAGGCAAATTTAATATCAAAGCTTGGGTAAGTGTCCCACAGGAATTTGATGTTCTCAATGTATCAAAAGCAATTCTTGAGGGTGTTTCAACATCACCTGTTGATAGTACAAATCTTGAGGGAGTTCACAAAAAATTGAAAGAAAAATTGACGGGGAAGAAATTTCTTCTTGTTTTGGATGACAATTGGAACGAAAACAAATCCAAATGGGAACAAGTGCAGAAAGCTCTTGAGTTTGGGGCCCCAGGAAGTAGGCTTCTAGTCACTACACGAAGCGAAAAAGTTGTTGTTACCATGCGATCAGAAAAGCAACTCCTGCAAGTACTAAGAAAAGATTATTGTTGGGACTTGTTCGAAAAACATGCATTCCAAAGTGCTAATTCTCAACTAGATCCAGATTTCATGGAGATTGGTAAGAAGATAGTTGAGAAATGTAATGGGCTTCCTTTAGCCTTGAAAACAATGGGAAGTCTATTATACAATAAGCCATCCCTTCGCGAATGGGAAAGCATTATGAAAAGTGAGATGTGGGATTTTTCAGAAAATGAAAGTGATATACTCCCTGCTTTAAGATTGAGTTATCTCCACCTTCCTCCTCATCTAAAGAAATGTTTTGCTTTTTGTGGCTTGTTTCCCAAAGGTCATAGGTTTGACAGGGACTTGTTAATTCAACTGTGGATGGCTGAAAATTTTCTGGAAAGCTCTTCGAGTCCTAAAGAAGTTGGTGAACAGTATTTCAACGACCTATTATCACGGTCTTTCTTTCAACAATCAAACGAGGAAGAGGAAAATGCTTTTATCATGCATGACCTTCTTCTTGATTTAGCAAAATACCTTTGTCAAGACAGTTGCATCAGGTTAGGAGTCGATGAACCACAAGGAGTACACAAAAGAACTCGTCATTTTTCATTTGCAACCGATCAAATTCGAACTTTTGATGGGTTTGGAAATTTCATTGACTCTCGAAAGTTGCATACATTTGTTCAAACAAGTTGGACCGGGTATCCTCGTGTTATGCTCTATTGGCGTTGCAAGATATCGTTAGATGACTTGTTTTCAAAATTCAAGTACATACGCGTCTTATCACTGAATGTCTTTCGTATCCTTACAGAGGTGCCTAAATCTATTGGAAATCTTAAGCATCTTCGTTCGTTAGATCTCTCTTATACTGAAATAGAAGAACTACCCGACTCTATAGGTTTACTCTACAAGTTGCAAATACTGAAGCTAAACCATTGTAAAAGTTTAACGGAGCTTCCCTCATGTTTGCTTCAACTCGACAAATTGTGTTTCCTAGAACTATTAAATACTGAAGTGAAGAATGTGCATATTTTGGGAGAGCTGAAGAATCTCCAAGTATTGATGAATTCGTTTTGTGTTGACATACATGAGGAACTCAGTATTCAACAATTGGGACAAATCAATCTTCACGGAAGTTTATCCATTAGTGGGCTGCAAAGTATTGAGGATCCCTCTCATGCATCAGAAGCATACCTGAAGAACAAACCACACATTGTGGAGTTAGAGTTCAATTGGAATTGGAGTTGCAGCTCCTCTGTTGATTCAAGTGACAGTTCCTCTGATGATTCAACAAAAGATGAGGATGTAATTGAGAATCTACAACCCTCAAAACACTTGAAGAAGTTGTCAATAAGGAGCTACATGGGTGAACATTTTCCAAATTGGTTATTTGATAATTCATTACCAAATCTGGTGTCCTTAGTGTTGAAGGAATGTGAATATTGCAAACGTTTACCTCCCCTTGGACTTTTGCCATCTCTTAAGGACTTGAGAATTGAAAAACTTCATGGGATAGTGAGCATTGATGCTGATTTTTATGGGAACAATTCTTCTTCCTTTAAATCCCTTGAGAAATTATATTTCTTCGATATGAAAGAATGGGAGAAATGGGAATGTAAAGTTGTGACAGGTGCTTTTCCACGTCTACAAAAGTTATCCATAAAGGGTTGTCCCAAGCTGAAAGGACAGCTGCCAGAGCTACTTGTTCCTTTGGAAAAACTATGCATTAGATACTGCCAAAAACTTGAGGCTTTCGCTCCCAGGGCTCTAGATATAAAACTGGAAGAAAGTGNGAAAGAGAGAATGGTTACGCGAGGAAGAAAAAGGAACATTAGGATAACATTTCTTACAATGGTGGCCAGTGGTGGAGGAAGCGGCGAAGCCTAGCGGTGGAGGCAACAATGGCAGCCAACGGCGGCAGCTAGTGGTGGAGGTATAGGCGGGGGAGCGACAAGGAAACGTTGTTCGCGCCATTGCGAAGCTGCAATTCGCGTTTACTCTTTGACGGAAGAGGAAGAAGAGTGAAAATGTGCTTACTGTGTTATGGATCTGGAATATAACCATCGAAGAGGCTATTACCTTGGTTATAAATAAAACCGATGTGTAAACCTTCTAGAAAAAATTCAAAAAAAAATTGTAAATTCAAAATTTGAAAATATCTACTAGCTATAGGCCTCGGTTCACGGTTAAACCGAGGCATAAATGACCTATGACATCGGTTAAAATGGAACCGAGGCAGTAGAGGTTGAAAAAAAGGATATGGAACGTTCAAAATCAAATGTTGTCAATTTCTGGCAGGACATACTGTCTCGGTTGGTCAAAGAACCGAGGCAGTAGACCAATTTCAAAAAAGCTGTCAGAGTTTTTCGCCTCGGTTGGTCAGAGAATGAGGCAGTAGGCCTATTTCGAAAAAGCTGTAAGAGTTTTCGCCTCGATTGGTCAGAGAACCGAGACAATAGGCCTATTTTGAAAAAGTTGTCAGGGTTTTTTGTCTTGGTTGGTCAGAGAACCGAGGCAGTAGCTTCTTTTAATAAAGTTGTAAGCCTAAAAGCTAGTTTTGCAGATAATTTTATGTGGTTTTAGGCATCGATTGTCTTTATAATCGAGGTTATAGAGGTTATAGACGTATAAGTTCGCTATAACTACAAAAATGCCACCGCGTTTTGATAGGCTTTGGTTTTGTGTAAACCGAAGCCTATTATACGAGTTTAAAAGCAAATTTTGTACTAGTGAAAGAAAAACCGAAAATCGATTTGGTATAAAGAGGTTTTTTTTCTCATCCCTAATGTCAACATATTTTCATTTGGAGACCATGGCACCAACCATCTTCATATTATTGGAAAAATAGTGTGAAATTATAGGTACTTTGGAGCACTTCACATGATGCCCACACTATAGTAGTTGACACAAATTCCGACATGTAAACAGATTTTGCTACTTTAAGAAGAGATATATAAGAAGAAAAAATAAAATAAATTAATTTTTACTATAAATATAATATAGTATTAGTATAAGTTAAAAATAAGAACTTAAAGATGTAATATAAAAAAAATTACAATTTAATTAATACATAAACTAAATTTAACTTGAAATTTTTTTTCTCTTTTTTTAAGAGTGCTTATAGTTGCAGTTATTGAAGGATGAACAACCATTGAAGAAACAATTGTTAAAATCATGCATTGGGAAAGTACTTAGAAATTAGTAATACATGAGTTTTGTAGTTCAGTTTGTGAATGACAGCTGTGGAACACAACACTTATTGTTGGTTGTTGACGACGAACCATCAAGGAAAAAACGATCACCAAAGAAAAACTAAAGGTCATAATTCAAAAAGTTAGCTTATAACTATTATTTCCATTGCACTGTAACGAATCAAAGACGTTAGCTTCACTTCAAATTACTCAGTTTCATTCATCCACTCACGGAAAATAAAATGAACTGTAAAATCATGGCTGTAGTGATGATTTANTTGAGGGTGTTTCAGCATCACCTGTTGATAGTACAAATCTTGAGGGAGTTCACAAAAAATTGAAAGAAAAATTGACGGGGAAGAAATTTCTTCTTGTTTTGGATGACAATTGGAACGAAAACAAATCCAAATGGGAACAAGTGCAGAAAGCTCTTGAGTTTGGGGCCCCAGGAAGTAGGCTTCTTGTCACTACACGAAGCGAGAAAGTTGTTGTTACCATGCGATCAGAAAAGCATCTCCTGCAAGTACTAAGAAAAGATTATTGTTGGGACTTGTTCGAAAAACATGCATTCCAAAGTGCTAATTCTCAACTAGATCCAGATTTCATGGAGATTGGTAAGAAGATAGTTGAGAAATGTAATGGGCTTCCTTTAGCCTTGAAAACAATGGGAAGTCTATTATACAATAAGCCATCCCTTCGCGAATGGGAAAGCATTATGAAAAGTGAGATGTGGGATTTTTCAGAAAATGAAAGTGATATACTCCCTGCTTTAAGATTGAGTTATCTCCACCTTCCTCCTCATCTAAAGAAATGTTTTGCTTTTTGTGGCTTGTTTCCCAAAGGTCATAGGTTTGACAGGGACTTGTTAATTCAACTGTGGATGGCTGAAAATTTTCTGGAAAGCTCTTCGAGTCCTAAAGAAGTTGGTGAACAGTATTTCAACGACCTATTATCACGGTCTTTCTTTCAACAATCAAACGAGGAAGAGGAAAATGCTTTTATCATGCATGACCTTCTTCTTGATTTAGCAAAATACCTTTGTCAAGACAGTTGCATCAGGTTAGGAGTCGATGAACCACAAGGAGTACACAAAAGAACTCGTCATTTTTCATTTGCAACCGATCAAATTCGAACTTTTGATGGGTTTGGAAATTTCATTGACTCTCGAAAGTTGCATACATTTGTTCAAACAAGTTGGACCGGGTATCCTCGTGTTATGCTCTATTGGCGTTGCAAGATATCGTTAGATGACTTGTTTTCAAAATTCAAGTACATACGCGTCTTATCACTGAATGTCTTTCGTATCCTTACAGAGGTGCCTAAATCTATTGGAAATCTTAAGCATCTTCGTTCGTTAGATCTCTCTTATACTGAAATAGAAGAACTACCCGACTCTATAGGTTTACTCTACAAGTTGCAAATACTGAAGCTAAACCATTGTAAAAGTTTAACGGAGCTTCCCTCATGTTTGCTTCAACTCGACAAATTGTGTTTCCTAGAACTATTAAATACTGAAGTGAAGAATGTGCATATTTTGGGAGAGCTGAAGAATCTCCAAGTATTGATGAATTCGTTTTGTGTTGACATACATGAGGAACTCAGTATTCAACAATTGGGACAAATCAATCTTCACGGAAGTTTATCCATTAGTGGGCTGCAAAGTATTGAGGATCCCTCTCATGCATCAGAAGCATACCTGAAGAACAAACCACACATTGTGGAGTTAGAGTTCAATTGGAATTGGAGTTGCAGCTCCTCTGTTGATTCAAGTGACAGTTCCTCTGATGATTCAACAAAAGATGAGGATGTAATTGAGAATCTACAACCCTCAAAACACTTGAAGAAGTTGTCAATAAGGAGCTACATGGGTGAACATTTTCCAAATTGGTTATTTGATAATTCATTACCAAATCTGGTGTCCTTAGTGTTGAAGGAATGTGAATATTGCAAACGTTTACCTCCCCTTGGACTTTTGCCATCTCTTAAGGACTTGAGAATTGAAAAACTTCATGGGATAGTGAGCATTGATGCTGATTTTTATGGGAACAATTCTTCTTCCTTTAAATCCCTTGAGAAATTATATTTCTTCGATATGAAAGAATGGGAGAAATGGGAATGTAAAGTTGTGACAGGTGCTTTTCCACGTCTACAAAAGTTATCCATAAAGGGTTGTCCCAAGCTGAAAGGACAGCTGCCAGAGCTACTTGTTCCTTTGGAAAAACTATGCATTAGATACTGCCAAAAACTTGAGGCTTTCGCTCCCAGGGCTCTAGATATAAAACTGGAAGAAAGTGCAAAGGTGTTGCTTGATTGGGCTACAGTGAAAAGCCTCCTATTGGCTGGGGACATCATGGAAGCATCATTCTTGGATATGGTTCGGGATAACATACCCGACAATTCTATTCAACATTTGAAGATTTATGGATCCAGTTTTAGGCCTTCTCCAAATATTGGTCTGTGGACCTTTCCACTACATTTCTTCCCGACACTAAAGACGCTTGTTCTCTGGCGGTTAAAAAGTTTACAGATGATTTCTCAAAATCACGCACTGGAGTGTCTGGATATCGGTTGGTGCCCTAAAATTGAATCATTGCCTGAAAACAAGGATATGCTCAAGAGTTTATACATTAGTGATTGTCCAAGACTTGAGCCTTTCACTGAGGGAGGTTTGCCATCAAATCTAAAAGAGATGACACTCAGTAATTGCCCTAGACTTGTTGGCTCACTGAAAGGAACTTTCGGAGACAATCCGTCTTTGAAAACGTTACATATTGAACATCTGGATGCCGAATGTTTTCCTGACGAAGGTTTGCTTCCACTCTCTCTTACTGAACTAGGCATCCGTAATTTTCCAAATCTACAAGAACTGGACTACACGGTTCTCAATCAACTCTCATCTCTTAAAAGTCTAACCCTTTGGAACTGCCCCAAGCTTCAACGCTTACCAGAGGAGGGTCTTCCTAAATCAATTTCAGATCTTTGTATATATTTATGTTTATCGTTGGAAGACCGTATCAGGGAAGGAGGTGAAGACTGGGAAAAGGTTGCTCACATTCCGAGACTAAGGATCTAGTACCTGTCACTTTAAATTTTTCCTCCAAATTTTTTTTCTGAACGCCTTAACTTATCCAGAACTTTCTATGGTAAATTCTTTTCTCTTTTCTTATATTTATCCCATTTATTCACTTTTTCTGACTCAGCTCTCTGAATCCTAACACCGTACAAACAAGTCTTATTTTCTCTCACCCCCTACCTACACTGCAATATCAACACATATCCCTCTTTTTGTCACACCAGATTTCGAAACACATCTCTCTTTTCATCACACAACAGATTTCGAAATCCACAAAGAAATTATAGAATTTCAAAATCTGATTAAAATTTTTATCAAATTTAAAATTCAGTTAAATACATTAATTTTTAAAATCTAATTAAATACTGAATTCCGAAATCTTATATATATATATATATATATATAATTTTAATTTTTTTAAAATTAGTTTAAATTTATTTTTAATGGTTTATGGTTTTGTTAATTTTATTGATTTTAGTTTATACTTATTTATGATTTAGAGTTTAAAATTTATGAGTTGTTGTTTTGTGCATTTATTCTCTTTAACCTCTTTAAATTTAGTTATTTGTCATGTCAATTGGTTTTAATCTTTATTAATGACTTATGGTGTTGTTATTTTTTTAATTTTATTGATTTTTGTGTATTCTTGGTTAGAGTTTATGATTTATGGTTTAGAGTTTAGTTATTTGTTATGTTTTAGGGTTTATGTGTTGTTGTTTTATGTATTTGTTAAAGAGATTAAGTAGAATGAGTCCATAAAGAGATTAAATAGTTGTTGTTGTTAAATCTCTTTAATCTACTTTAGAGTTTATGTATTTAATCTCTTTAATCACTACTTAATATTGTTGTTTTGTTGGTCTTGATGTTCAGGAGGATGTGATTAAGTAGTAGAATGAGGTTATTGAACAGTACAACAACGTTGTTCACCAAGAAGATGATGAAGTTGTTAGAGATCTTGTTGTTTTCAATTGTAGTCTGATTGTTTTTACCATGTTAGAAACTTTTAATCAATCTTAAAATGTTATGTAATTTTTTTATATTTACATTGTAATTGTTAACCAACTGTATTTTATTTTAAATTATTAATAAGTTAATTTTGGTTAATTTTTATGTACTTTACAATTTTATATATTTTATTTATTTTTTACTATAAAAAACATATTCTATTAAATTAAGAAATTATAAATGTAGATTATAAATAAAAGAAGTTTAAAACATCCACATAATACTAATCATAGATTAAAATCCTTCACAAAGGGATTGGAGAAAACTTGTATGTTTGTAGCGACTCTATAGTAAAGGTTTAAAAAACTCCATAAATTAATCTGTGGAAGATAAAATCCCCATAAATAAAAAAACTAAGCCATGCAAAGTGACAAGATTCATGGGTCTGATGCTGCCAATAGTTTCAAGTTCTGCGTCCCTTGAGTTGTGTTGATGTTGGTTTTATAGTCGTTTAATTGCAATTGGTAGGGAATTCTTAAAAAAAACACTTGTACACGGTAACCGAGGCACCATATCATGTTGAACAATATTAAACATAAGGTTAAATATGTTTTTAGTCCTTAAACTATTGGCCGTTTCTGGTTTTCGTCCCTCTTTCAAAGTAAGGTACAATTTGGTCCTCATTCTTTTCGAAACTTTCGTTTTAGTCCTCGAAAACTAAACACTGTTTAAAAATTTGGTCTTAGCAACAAATGAGGACTAAAACCAAAATTCCGAGGACTAAAACGAACGTTTCGAAAAGAATGAGGACCAAATTGTACCTTACTTTGAAAGAGGAACGAAAACCAGAAACGACCAATAGTTTAGGGACTAAAAACATATTTAACCCTTAATCATAAAATGAAAAACACAAGTTTACGGTTAATTTCTTCATCGGAGATTGGACCAGGATCAAGAGTAACTGCAGCCTGAATGTCACTTGAAATTGCCAATGTGATTACCACACCCCCTGCACATGCCTCATATATAGGATAAAATTAACATATACATCTTTGCTAAATGAAAGTGTTATCTATAACATAGATGATGACCTCTCTTGCCCAACATATGACCGGCTTGAAGGTATAGTGTTCCTCAGGAATTTGATGTTCTCAAAGTATCAAGAACAATTCTGGACACAATAACTAGTTCATATGATCATAAGTAATTCAGAAAAAATGGAAAGGAAAACTTATGCAAAAAAAAATACTTTTCATTTTTACCATAATGACTATAAATAAATTAACGAAACCATATTTGTCACACCTAAAAAAGTTTTAAAAATTTGCGTCCTAAGTAATGTTCTGGCTGTAAGAAACATTTTAGTAAATGTCACCTAAACACAAGAGGCAAAAATACAAAAAGTTGTTGTTTAAAAATATGCGTATAATGTTTCCATCTCTCAAAGACCTATGCTTAGAAGACTTGAGTGATTTCCAGAAGTTTGCCATCAAATCTAATTACCTATATTAGCAAGTAGTTACTTACAGAATATATCAACAAATAATTATTTACGGATTTAATCTATATAAAGTTCGTGTAGATCTGTATTTATGGGTGAATGCTTTTTATTTAGTAACTACTAAATTATTGATAAAATTTTATATTCACTAAAAAAATTAAACAATTAAATAAAATTAAAAACATGATTATAAAATTTATATATTATTAAAAAACAAGATATTGGAAATTCAACCATATTAAAAAAATATAAAGAAATACTAACATAACATTCGAAAAGAATCAACTCCGAAAAGATTAAACGGAATTCCTTAAACCATTTGCTCAAGATGATCCAATAGGTATGGATTATTGGATGATATTATCAAGTTCAAAGTGAGTTCAGCTAATTGCAAAGTTTGTAACCCATTATACAATAATTACACCATAAGTCAAATTGAATTGATCCCTATGACAAGACAAGTATGTTGAGTAAACTCATTTTCTAACTCTATTTATAAGAAATCATTCCTCTCAAGCCATTTCAATTGTTGTATATTGCTATGAAGAATAAATCCAAGTTTCAATATTTATCTTGTTGAAATTAGAAATTACACAATTTGACAGTGTCAGCCAAAAACGTGAGTGAGTAAAAGACTTTGATTTCAAAAAAAACAAAGACTGAATAGAGAGGTCAAGTTAAGGTGTCAGGAGTCCATTGTGTGAAAAAAAGAAAGAAAAAGATTGATGAACATCTTTTGGACGGACTTGAAGAAAGTTGCATAAGAAAAATAGATAATGTGAATGAAACAATAGATAAGGAATGTCATAAGAGATAAATTTAAAAAATGTAAGATGTGGAAAGGAGAAACTACTATTTGGGTAGTTACGAAATGAATACTAAAAAATAAATGCATTTTTAAAACAAAACAAAAATATTTTTTCTTCATTCAGTTTCCGCCCCCTCCCAAAATAATAATTTAAAAAAAGAAAACCGAAAAAAAATATCTAAAATATTTTTTTTTTAAATTTATTGTAAGATCAGGAAAATATGAATTTTAAAAACAAAGTAGTTTTTGAGACTTTGAATTTCTTTTTAAAGATTAGTATTTTTGAGTATATATTTTTCTTATAATATATATAATTGTTACGTTATTTTTTACTTTTATCTTTATTTAGTTGGTGCATTAATTAAGGAGTGTAGAAAGGAAAAACATACAAATTAAATAATTCAGATATTTAATAAAATGATATTATGTAAATCTTTTAGAAGATTTAGTAGTTATTTTAAAAATTAGTTAAATGGAAATAGGAGACAAAATCTTGGAGGGTTTAAAGATTAAAAGAGATATTATTATTAAAGAAAATCATTATTAGATATTGTTAGATATTTTAAAAGATTACATAGATTTTAAAAAGATTTGCTGGTTGGTGATATTTTAAAAAGTAGTTAAGAGTGAATAAAAAAGAAAATCTTAGTGGTTTTAGAGATAAACTGAGAGATTTTATTAAGATTAAAATAATAGAGATAGAATAGGAGAAGATAAAAAGAAGAGTAAATAGGGGTTCGCATTTGTTTACTCTAAAATAAAACAAAAAGCAAAAATTAGAAAGATACGGTAGAGAAAAGACGTTTTATAGGAGAAAAGAGGAAGAGTTGTAGAAAATCTTAGTGCAAGGGAGGATTGCGATGTTTTTGAAGTTAATATAAAACTCTAGTATTAGCCAAGATACGAGGAAGTTTACCATTGTTTGTTGTATGTTATGCATTCTCGATTTACTTGCATGAAAATACTTTGATATGCGTTATATGATTATGATTATGATTATATGTTCTTATTGTTGGACAAGGGTTTGTGTGTGCATGGGAATAAGTTTTTGGTAATATATGTTATTGGTTTTCCCTATGAATGTATTATGTATGTTTTGTTGGCTAATCACAATAGAGGATTTGATGCTAATAGGGAACAAATTTATGATTCTTGGAGGTTTCCATGCAAATATATTTTGTAAGTGTTGGGTTATTGGGCTCCCTTCCTATGTGGAGAATAGGCCAAATAATGCAGACCATTATGTCTCACTTTTTTTAATGGAGATTGGTCAGATTAGTAGGACACATTAGAGTCATTAGAAGATAGGGAAAATCCAAGTGAGAGAGAAAGGAAGAGAAGAAGTCGTGGCTCCATAACATAAAACCTGCATTGGTATTTTCGTCGTGTTGAAGTCGTTCACCGTTGGATCCGGTTGATTTTCGGACAGTAGGTTTCAGACGTATGGTGCTATATTCTAACCATTTGGATCGTCAATCAGACTTCTAGTTTGGGAGAAAATAGTCTTGCATTGCAGTTTTGGAGAATTTTCATTTTCTTTGTTCTCAATTGTAAGCATTTACGCTTAGTTAGTTTAGCTGATTGAAAACCCCATTTGTTTTTTTATCAGAGACTCTTTTGCATTGACACAATTAATTTTTCTTTGGTCTGGACGACTCATGAAATTTTACCCTTCCTTTGAGGGGTTTTCCATGTTAAAAATATTTGGTGTCTCTTTATGCTTTGGATTCTGTTTTTGCTCTATTTTTTTTGTGCTCCTCGTAGATTCTCACAAGAAGGGGGATTAAATTTTCGTTGTGTTATTACTCTTTGTTAAGTTTCTATTACTTTTTTCCCTTTTTCCCATCAGTAAGGGTGTGGTAATAATCATATGCAGTATAATTAGGTTTATTGGAGGTATAACATGTCAATGATTGGATCTGGATTGTTCAAGTGATGTATTATATGTGTTTGAGTATGTTTACTTGGGTATGTGATGCTTATGCATGTATGATGTGTTAAGTATGTTTTCACGGTTGATGTATGCATGTTTGAATGCTTGAATCATGTCCAAGATGTGTTTCAATTCAACAATAATCGATTATCATTAGTTATAATTCGATTATCTACACGTTGGTTTTGAGTGTAGTTTCGGGAATAATTAATTATCTAGGAGGATAATCGATTATCCATTCATGCATGATGTTTATAGGTAAATTTCACTAAGATAATCGATTATCTTAAGTAATAATCGATTATCATAGTACATTTTGATAAAAAAAATGGTGAACTTGATGAAGAATGCATATGGACCAAGCCTAAGGAGATGTAGAACATGATGATAATGAGAGATTGAGGTTAGTGGTTATATTTAGGGTCAATTTGACTTGTGGTTGACAGTGGAACATGGGTAAGAGTTGTGATGTACCTGAGTATGTGATTGATGAGCATGAGAGTGGGGCTACTTGTTGTACCTCGTAAATCCTCAGATAAGTGCTTCCTTTTGCCTTGAATGCATTGAAAGGGTTGTTAGGGTCTTGAGCTTTCCTTGTGTTGGAGTGAAGGTGTATTCCTTGTCCTTGTGTGATAGGACTAGATGTTCCTTATGTAGGTAGTTAGCATAGGTGCTAATGGGTAGATAGACCAATGGTCTAAGTGTGAGATGTTGGATAAGAATATAATGGTTAAAGATCGAGGATCGAGGATCGAGTAATTCATTATGTTTGAAATGCTTAAG